TCGACGTGGAGCGCCGCAAAGCAAAAAAAAAAAAACCTGGGAAAAGTCTATGCGAAATGCATCCGTGGTTAAACCAAGGATCATGTGTGGGGGGCAAATGTGTTCCCGTCTGAATCACCCCAGTGCGCTGGAAAGGAAAACATTACGACCGCTTGCAACTTTGAGTGTCATGGTTTGATTATAGATGCAGATGATTGATTACGGATTTGAATGACAAAGCTTTGATGCGATTATGTATCTGTGAATATGCACTCTGACGTGACCGCTATGTGTTTGGCGGTTAGCTAAGCAACGAATAATCATATATTTCGTGAATGCCATGCAAATACCATTTTGGAACTCTGGCAACTTCATAACACTGTTCAATCCGCTCAGGGATCACAGAGTCGTAGATCATTGCGGGCATATTTTTTTCCAAGGCCGCGGGCCGCGGGCACAGGTCGCAGGTCGCGGGGCGCGGGCCGCGGGCTTTGGGACGCGGGCGCAAACTCCAACATCCAACAATCATGTTTGGCTTATTTTCATTTGGGACAGCTAGATTGGCTCAAAAGAATCGATTACGAGTGTGGATGCATGTCTTCTTTGTTGTCACAGTTTGTTTCAACATGCAGGTGAGAAAACAAACGATGGTGATGGACTTTTGATGTTTATGTTGTTGCCCTGCCGAGTTTTAATCATGATCTTCATTTGTTTGGATGCGTGCCTGAGCAGCAAGGTGCGTCGCAGCCAAGCATGCACCCCAAACAACCGTACTGAGCACAACACATGACCTAAACTACGTCACGTCAGAAACCAATTTGCTCAATGCGCCAGCGTGCCAGCGCGAAGCGGCGAACTGCTTCGCCCCCACCTGCTGCGCAGGTTGGCCTTAGCGCAATTTTAGCGTGGAATGCCGAGTGGGTGTTTGGAGGGTGTCGGCGCAAGCCAGACAGATGTGCCGTCCAGCACAGCGGCTTCGCTTCTGAAGAACAGGAGTGCGAAGGACCTACCTTTCAACGGTCATGTGTTGTCTCAGATCTGCAGTTGTTATCATGCCATGTGCTACAGGATTTTTTCGCCAGACTTGGCTTCGTTGGGATTTTCGTCACAGAGAACATTATGCATGCCATCCATTTCGAATTCGAAGTGGATCACATGGTGTCTCCTGCTGTGGCTCCTCTGCCGCGAGCACCGTGCCTTAAAGCTGGAGTTTATTCGAAGCTACATGTGGGATGTGCGCAGGTGCAAATGTGCGGTGAGACATATGGACCATCTAATTTCGGTGGTTGTGTTTATTTGTAAAGTTGCTAGTGTGAGCAGTGCCACAGCAGCGTCAGTGAGGAGTTTGCAGTGAGTTTGCATCTCGTTCACATCATCTTCGGCCTTTTTGGTGCAATTTTCGTCCTTGTTTCTGGCTTTGACACCGCTGGCCGCACAGCTCTCACCAAAGGCCTTTTGATGCTCCAAACTTACATGATCTCACCCCCAACATATGAGCCTGCAACTCTTTTTTACGCTAGAAGGGTTTCGATAGTATGGCTGCCGTATGATTGCCGCCATGATGTGGGTGCCATTGTCTATAGTCAACCCATCAAATCCAAGCTCAGTTGACATGTCAATGCTTCAGACTGTTTTGCAGGAACATCAATGATGCTGGTGTTCATGGCCACCATTACTTGGACTTGGTGGATAAATCGGCAAGGTGTCGTCTACTGGCACTTGGATCCTGTTCCGTTCTGGGACGTGAACTGTTCAGCCGAGAAGCGGAACCGGACTGTTCACATTTTGAAGAACATCTCCATTGTTGGTGCCCTGACAATGCTGCAGCAAATGGCCAAGTATGAATCGAAGGATGCTTTGATAATGTCGGTGTTAATGTGTCAAGCTGCAATCAGATACCGGTTAGGGGCTTGCCTAGAAAGGACGTATGCTTTCTCAATTTCAGGAACCCCGAACCATCTTTGAAATGTACCTGCTGGAATTCGCAATTTGTTTTCTTAACGTGATCAAGTAGTTCATCCCAGCAGTAATCAGAACATCTCAGTGCATGTAGAGTTGTTCGTGACCATGAGGCTCCCTACACAAGTTCATTCTACAGGACTATGCCTGCTCACCGGCCGTGTCTTCTTTTTTTTGCTTCCAATAAAAAAAAGTCGGCAAGGTGCAAGACTGTAAGATGACATTGAACACATTTCCCAACAGGCACAAGAAAAGTGAAGCTGAGTTTTGGTAGCTTGTATCTTCCTCCCGGCAGTGGCTCAGGATTCTCCTGGGCGTCCATCCTTCTTGGAAGGTTTGATTACAGCTTTGAGGCCAGAAGCTGCTTCCAAGCTTCGTCAAAAGCAGGCTGCTGCCATTCCAGGCCTTGGAGCTTTGCGGGGATCATTGGCCCGTACCTGGTTCTTCTTGCAGTTCTGCGATGCCTCCTTCACGTTGAGCTGCCTGGATACACGGTCTGCCGCGCCTGCAAGTCATTAGTCGCTTCCTGGGACCCTAAACCCATTCTAATCTGATCCCTGCGCAGATTGTGTTTGTGCTACTCGTCTCCTTGCTAGCCGTGCAAGCAACGGCCAATCTCGTGAACTCGTGACCCTGACCACGTGGGCCTGCCAGTGTGAGAGTAATGATGCCCTTGAAGGTACAAAGATTTCGAGAAGGGAATTGACACGGTGGAAAGTGCTGGTGATCGAACTTTGGTGGATGGCTTGCAGCTCAGCCGTCATTGCAGACCCAGCGGCAGAAGCTTTGACATCACGTCAAAAAGTGCCACAAGGTCTGGTGTCCCCGACAATGCTCAAGGCTCCGGTTGCTTTTCCACAGACAATGCTTTGCCCCGATTCGTCGTCATTCCTGCGTGTAGCAAGCTTCGTCACGTGACTGTCGGAACTGGCTTCGCCCTCAAGGTCGCAACCAAGCATGTTGGTAGGGACTTGCATGGGGGTCCGGCAGTGGCCTACAAATCGACTTGACAATCTCCCGCAATGCATTCTGCGTGGGGCTGCAAGGCTAAGCGGCAACAACTCTGTAAGACATCTACACTATACTACGATACTGTCGAGTCTAGAGCTTGCACAGGCGCTGGCTGCCATTGCGCTCTTGTGGTGGCCGGGCTGCTGCTTGCCGAAGAGTCCAAGATGACACTGCCAAGCCTTTGCCATTGCTTTGCTTCTTTGCAGGCTGATTTTCTTCTTCTGGTCTGTGCTGGCTACGAACTTCAGTTTGACAGGCACGTATGTTGCTTTTCAACGTACATTTTTCACCTTGCTTGATTCTTGCAGTTGTACTGCCTTGGCTCCCTCAACCCAATGCCTATGCCAGTGCTCAGCTGGGCGACAGTTGGCACTCTACTGGTTCTGGACTGAGCCTGCAGCAACTTTGGGGGAAGTTACCATGAGGGGACCCACATAAACCCTGTATGTATGCCGTATAACTCCTTCATCGCTGCCATCATCTTGATTTACAACTATGCCTCGTGTATGAACCCCCCCTACTTCTACTGGAAACTCTTCTCCCGAGATTGACTGCTATATAGTACTCTGTAATCATTGGGTGTGAGTCTTCTAGGGAGCTGTGTGATTCGTGTCTTTTTCTCAGGCCTTCGGCTACACTGCTGGACCTGCCCCGCTGAAATACATTGGCCTTGGCGATCTAACAGTGGCGAGTATGAACGGATTTTTTTGGTTTGGGCGGTCGGTGTTTGCGTGCAGCAGAGATGGCTTTGCCTGCTGAGGTGTTCATTTGCTTTGGCCCGGGTGTGATCACGTACTGCTCCGTCGTTCTTGTGGGTACAGTTATGCGCGGAGCCAAGTCCAGCCAGCTGCAGTTGCAAAACACAGGCCGCAAAGTCTACGAAGCCAGTCCGGCTTTCATGGCAGGAGGTTAAATCCCCGCACTCTTTCTTTTCTTTCGCGCCATTACTTCTGGCATTTGTCTTCAGATTGTGCAGGGGCTTTTGTGACGGATTCCAATCTCTGGCGGAATGGCATGTTTTGTAAATTGCGAAAATATTCGTCAGAGCGCGCTTTGTTACTTTACCCAAACGTGGGTTCTGAGACGACCTGGGGGACGGGTGGACGTAAATGGCTTGGTTTGCGAGGTTAGAATGGACCCAGGGCAGTGGCTTCTTGGGTGCTGCAGGCACCCTTTGAGGGGCTCCTGGGCGATGTTGGGTCCTGAAGGTGTCCGGAGTGCTTTTGGATCCTTTTCGAGGGACTCCTGAGCGCGTTTGGGTTGTCTGCAGGTGTCCTTTCTTAGTCTTCGGGGTGCTTTTGGCAGCCTGCTGTGCCACCCAAAAGCCGTACCACTTCAACTCGCCGCTGCAAAAAAACACTTGTGAGCGTTGAGCTTTCGTTTCTGCCCCTGGATCTCAGTGATAGACACGACATTGAAACCTTGCATTTTGGGTAAGCTAATTTTTTAAGGTTTTTGTGCTTTCTTCGATTCAAAGCAAAAGTGAGGGGGCAATTCGTTCCAAACCAAGCGGTCAATACACCAGCCCGCGAGCTGCGCCCTGGCTGCCCCTACCAGGCGGAGTTTGCAGGTGGTCAGCATGAGGGCACACCAGAGGGTCATCCTGTGAGTAGGTAAACTCCGGCGAAGATGTCTGCCCCAAGAAACCTTGTGTGACCAGTATCCTGAAAAAGTCCGACCTTGCCCCGACAGACGGCCTGCGCGCAGGGAAGCCCACAACCTGTCGTGGTCTGGCAAAGTAGCAGCTTTTTGAAAGACCGTGATGCCAAAGAATGCATGTAGTCAAACCAAGCTGAGGCATCAATACTGGGCTCTTGTAGAACAATATTTCATTTTTATGGATACCTGGGCCCAATATCAATACAACAGATCTTTTTGATGGTGTTTCAACAAGAACCCAGAATATCTCTTTGCGTGTAAGCAGGAACAGGAGGTAAGGTAAGGGAGCTGGAGGCTGCAATGATCACCATGGACCACACCACCACTCCCACATACAAAGGTGGCAAGCCTTGCTGCTGACTGCACCGGCCGAATCCTTACGCCAGTGTTTGTGCGGCTTTCTTCACATGCTGCAAAATCAATTGAGCGAAATGCTTGCCAAGCTTGCCAAGGCATCGCTGTATGCGTTGTTCTTGGTTCTGCCCGAACTCATGCAACACGAAGTAACAGTTCGGCTTCAACATCCAAGGTAGTTGGCATCTTGCATGCGAACAACTACAGAGACATAGAAGTTGACAGCATGGGAGGCAGGAACATGATGACATGTCTTACGCTAACATAAAAGTGATGCTATGATGATTCGCGTGCACGTGTGAACGTGATGACAGCCATTTCAGATCAGAAATGACCATGGTGCGCATCAACTCCATGTTCAAGAATCAGGCAGTTTCTGTTTCAAAGAGCATTTGATTCGTCGGGGAACCAGCGAGCTGGCGATCAAGCCAGCTAAGCGAGCTGAAGATGCCTCAGCTGCGAAGTGATCCGGCAAATTACATCTACTCAGCAGACGTCGCCACTGCCAGGACTCACTGAGATTGATTCATTGCTTGATTTAGTTGACTGACGACAAGGAGTGTGCAGTGTGTACTGCCTTGTGAGGCTTGTGCACACATCAGCGCCACGATCTCCTACCAGGTTTGAATGCCGTGCAGGGCTGAGACTCGGGAAAAGTCGCGTTGCTGGCTGAGTCAATCCCATAGATCAGGGTATCCTTTTAGACCTGTCGCTTCCGTGTAAGCAATGCCTTCTGTAATGTGGGATCCTGATTAGCGTAGGGGAGTCCCGCCCCCCAACAAAATAGGGTCCCTCGTTAATCTAATGGGGTGAAGGTCCCCCAAACGCATCTGGATCCTAGCTTCCAAACAAGATTCAATAGGAGGAAGGTTTCCGGAGCTCAGAATAATCATGAATACCTTCAAGAGGAGGAGGGTTTCCGGAGTTCCTGATATGTTTTAATGTAAATTCAACAAGAGGAGGGTGGCCCCAGAGCTTAGAATCTGTTGTGAAATAGTTTCAATAGGGGAGCGATGCGGAGCTCAGTAGCCGTTCTAAATGAATTTAATTTCGTGCATTTGTTTTCTGGGACCCATAGGGGTCCCGAACGTTTCGCATAATTGAGCACCCTCAAAACATTCGTATTAAAGAGGACGAAGCAGCTGCTGGATTACCCCCTTGCAAAAATGATACGGCTTTGGGTATATTACAAGAAGATCCCCATATACCCCATATTCTATCTACTTAAGGGGGACTATATCCTAAACCCTAAATGGTAGTCTCCATTTTCTTTTCCATTATCCCAGTATACATGATTGCCCGGCCTGCTGGAACAAGCCTGTTTAATAAGAAATCGATAGTGTGATAGTTTTAGACCTGGCCTGAAACCTAATAGAAAGTGCGAAGGCTTGACATCTTGAACGATTTGCTTTAAAATGGCGTGCCTTGTCTGGAACTTCTAGGGGGCCCCGAGAATTTCGGATACTTGAGGGAGGGCCTTTTTTGTTTGTGTGATTTCTTTTTAGGGGTGGCCCTTGCGTGGAGCCTGTTCGAATTTTGGCTTTGTCCATCATCTTTAATTTAATCATTTTGTATCATTTTCATATTTTTCTATCATTTTCATAATTTTTGTATTCTTTCTATCATGTTTTTGGTTTTTTTCGTGCATTTTCTATCATTTTTATCATTTCCATCATTTTCATCACATACTTGACTTCTGCCTTCTTTCTGTTGGCTGCTTGGGTTTTTGGCTTCTTGGGCTTTTGTCTTGTTGGCTTCTTCGATTTCTGGCCCCGTGGTTTCCAACTTTCTGTACCTTCCTGTTGTAGTAGTAGTAGTAGT